AGATGTGATAAATGCTGTTGACTTAATGCAGAAATTGGTGATGTAAAACGGAGAAATTGCCTCTGCGCTTGTTATGTAGTTATGGTGGTGAACCTCCTGTTAACAACTCCAGTTTTTAGGGGCTTCCTCATTTTATTAGGGAGGGGGTCGCGGATGAAGGCTGAGAAGAAATCAGTAGGAATGGCTTATATTTGTGCTCAAACTGAATTCATGAATGCTTGTGCAAAGCTCACTTTGCATAAGCAGGCTACAAATACTGGTTGCTTTTGCTGGAGTTTGATTGCAGTGGTCCTGCAAAACCAAGCCATCATTGAAGATCTTTTGGGTGCAAAAGATTCTTCAGAAGTTTCAGCCTTCCTGGAGACAGAACAGATACAGAATGTCCCATCCCAAGTAATCATATCTCATTCATTTGTGACCCCACACCTTCTCTGCCCCCTCCAAGGAGCCAGGTTGTCGTGGAAATTATAATTATTTACATGGACAATGTGTTAAGAAAAAATTACTTTTGGAGCTCTAGGTTGAGTATATATGCTGGTATATTTGGCTTTAGCTCCTAGAGTATGAGCTAGAGACTTTCTTAAGCCACCATTGAGATTCCCACCTGAGCACCTGACCTAACACTTGATTCTCAACAGCTGAGAACTGGAGAAAAGCACCGAATATCCTGACATTGGTGCTATTGTTTTCAGGAAAAATCGTGTTTACTTAGGAAGGACTGTTGTTCTGTTATTTCTGCATACCAGTTACTTTAGATACAAAAAGAAATGCTGAAAATTCCTATGCACGAGGAGAGTTTTATTTCCATGACTGTCATTAGATTTACATTTGCTTTGGTCCAAGGTGTATGCGACACACTCAAATGGAGGAAGGATGGTATAGTTACCAAAATAGATGCATTGTGTTAATTTCTTAATTATTTTTTTTGTGGTGCAGTGCATTTAAAGTAACAAGTATTGTAAGCAGTATGCTATTTTTAAACCAAGGACATTTTGTGCTGAAATTGGCTATTGCGACACCGGGTTAGAATTAGAATACACAAAATTCAAAACCACAGTAACCCTAATTTTGCCATTCTTGCCTTTTTAACTGCTCAACAATAGTGTTGTGTTTGTATAGCATTTAAAAATATTTGTTAAGGGGAATGTAAAGAGCTACTGGCAGGCTTCTCTGTTAACTGTTCGTGCATGCTCAGCGGCTCTGCTCAGAAACAAGCTGTAATGAAAAGTCAGGGGTGAGTACTCCTGGTGTCCCCAGCTCAGACTCCTCCTTGTGTTGCAAGCAAAGGAGCAGCTGAAGTTCCAGCCAGGATGGGGGCAGAGACCTGCATGGTGGAGCGGACAGTCCCTTTGGCTCAGAGGATGTGCACCCGTGATGGGCTAAAACCTCCGTTTGCCATCTCCTTTCCCAACTCGCCATGGTATATGCATGCCTGGATCTATAGTCTCCAAGGAGCTACTCCGGCAAATGAGTAATAATGTTCAGGATAATATAGTCTGACCATGAGGATGAATTTTATACGGCTATAGTTCTTGTCATCACCCTACAATCCCTGGGTTTGCCTGGGTTGGTCCTGACGTTCCAGCCAGCACTGGGGAGAGGTTATGGGAGGCCAGCACCACTCAGGGCCGCTCGCTTTCAACCTGCCCCAGCTGTGAGCTGCCTGATTTTTCCCTGCAAGGGCTTTACGAAGTTGGGACATGCACGTGTCCATCTTCAGACAGAAATTAGCTTTGGATTTCACATGTCACCCATCAGACCACCTGAACTAATTCACATGGAAAAAAAAAATTGGAAAGCAGCTTAAGAAATTATTTCTCCTTTTTGCTGTTGCCTTGCACGTTGGCGTGCACTGTCTGCATTTTGAATACGAGGTCATCTGCTGCGTTGTAACGCGATAGTAATACAGACTGCGTAATCCTGGGAACCGGCAGCTTGGATCTTGCCTGTCCAAATTTTACTGTTCTAAAACTTGACTTCTTTGTTAAAAATGAACAGTTTCCAGGGGGTAAAAAGCCCCCAGAGAAGAACTGTTGGCATTTTATATTTTTAAGCTGTCTTGCTGAATGAAAACAGTTGATTATTAACTTGATGGGGTGACAATGAGTATATAGAACTTAAATATATCACCACTCCCACAAAGAAAAAAAAAAGCACCCTCCATTGTATCATGGGAAGATACATAGCCAGAAAAACTTTCCAACTCGTTAAACTTTTATGCTTGCTTCATACAAGCTTATTGTAGGCTTTTTTCCATCCTGTGATGTTGTAGGGACGCAACTGAGGAGGACATCATCAATTTAATAGTATTTCTTTCTGAATGTGCCTTTTTTTGTAACAGAAAAAGTTAAATTACTTGATCTGAAGGATTAAAAAAAGGTTTCCTTGTTTATGTGTTTCAGGTTGTTTATTCTGCCAAGCCTGATAATGAAATCAGTCTGAATGTTTCCCCTGTAATCAGTTTAGTCAGCTTCTGTGATTGTGCGGGGTATTCAGACAAGGACGGGGATAAAGGAAGGAACTTTTAAAAAACAGGAAAATACTATTGTAAACATACCGGGCAAGTTATAAACTGGGAAAGGGTACTTGGGGTCAAGTGTCGTACCTGCAGCTACTTTTGATGCTCTGTGGTAGATGCTTTGGTGTGTTTTTCTTCCTCTTGTGGCTTGTGTTTGACTTTTTAGAAGAGGGGTAGGGGAAAATACTGGTTTAAAGGACTAGAGTCTGGCTATATCACTTTTAAGTTGCCTATTTTATAGTGGAGGCAAGTGAAGGTAAGGCTGCTGTAGCTGACTTGAAGTTGGAAAGGAACAACAAAAAGTGATATTTGGGCTTGGTTTGAGCCAGGTGGGATGGCTCTGCACTCTCCGTCGTGTGCTTAGGGAGGCCACGTAGCATCTTGATGTGGGGCCATAGCTGGCAGGAAGCATCCAATATTCCTTTTGCTGTTTCTCTCCGGTGTAATTTTAGTTTTCTGGCACCTTGATTGGGTTCTGTACTCATCCTGGTTGTGTCCCTCCCCTTGCTCTTCCTGATCCTCCTTTATCATCCTCAGCCATGGGCTTGGGGGAAAGCTGCCTCGCTGCATTCGCCTGTAGGTCAGCTCATCCCCACGACAGTGTGGGAGGGGACGTGGGTTTCGGCTGGTCATTGCACCCGCAAGCAAGGACTTTGTAAGTTCTAAATTGAGAATTGTTGCTTCATATGCGTGTCTCTCCAAACCTGTGGATTTAGACATTCCCTCACCATTAATTACATCCTCTCATCTTGTAGCAGCAAGTAAAAAGGCCAAGTTGGGCACGTTGTTCCGCTGCAAGCAGCTGAACATGGTTTCTTGTTGGTTGGATGCGTGCGAGTTTCTAAAAGTACGTGGCCACTCTGTTTTGGGAAGTGCGTCCTGCGGCGCTTGCGTCAGGGTGGGGAGTAACCAGACAGCCCGGGCCCCTTCTCAGAGGGTGTACACATGAGTCACGCCAACCAGTCCAGCATTGCCAGTCATCCCCAATTAAAAGCAAGGGTGCGTGCTTCAAAGGGAAGCCCGGTTTGCCGATCACTGATGGGCAGCGAGGTAATTCCTAGGTAGCACTGGAAGTGAGTGGTACCATCGTTTGCCTTGGTGCAATCTCTGATGGAGACGCTGGGTGTTACCACCTCCCTTCTGGATCCCATAGGGTCTGGTGACCCGCGTTTGCCAGTCATTTGGCATCTAAATTGCTCAGGCAGATGCAATGAGAGACTGCCAAAATTGGCAACGGCGTCCGACTCTGACAGCGGTTTGTGAGTTTGCCTGGTCGCCCCGTGGCAGCTCTTAATGCAACATCTCCAATGCGGTGTCCCACAAAATGCTCGGCAGCAGTCATGCGGAGGTGAAAAGATTTCCAGGCGAGCTTCAAAGAGAAGGATGTGACTAACTGTCTCGCAGGGAGCCAGGACGTGGACCCAGCCAGATGAGGCAGCTCACATGAAAGGGCTGCCAAAGGAAAGGGAGAGGACACAGACGAAACTGGGACTGGGCGATGAGGAGGAACAGGCGGTTGGGAAAGGTAGAAGGGAAAATCTCTGTGGGCTGTTTCCAGTGGCCAGGGGACATATCTGCTCTCTGGGGAGGTAACCTGTGGGTAAAGCAATGAACCTCAGGCACGTTGGCTGTCATTCCTGGCTCTGCCTCAAGCCTCCGCTGCCTGTCCTTGGACAAGTCACTCTCCCGGTGACTCAGTATCCCAGCTGTAAAAAGGGGATTGCTGCTTGCCTCATGGGATGTTGTGAGGGTAATCTCGGGGACGCCTTTGCAGTTTGATGTATTAAGTGGGAGGGAGCAACAAAATGTGAGCACAAAGATGAACGTGAAAAGGGATCTGTACTTTCCTCGCCGCCTTCTCTGAATGTAATCATGTACCTAATGATAATATAATGGTGACTTATTCATCATTGGCATATACTCTTTCAGTTGCACTGGTGGGAACAGGTTTTTGGTTTTATTTTTTACCCCTCAGGGCTTTAAATACATAATTTTGTATGTTTATGTAATATGTCAATGGTTTAAGCAATTTCTAATAGAAAATTAGAAGAAATAACGAACAATAAATCAAAGTCAGACTAAACCAAGATGTAATTGAGTAATACAATAGTGGGACTAGAAGCAGAGTTTGCAAAGGGGCCCTCAAACAGAGAAAATGCAAATCCTGGGGCCTGAAGAAGGAAGGGTTCTGGTTTGTGTCTGTCTTAAAACTCTGTACCCGATAGCGTACCTGAGGAGGGCTAAGGCCAGAAATGAAAAGGAGTGACTCCTCCTCGGCTCTCTCATTCTCAAATAAGCTTCTGCAAAAGGAAGGTTAACTTTAACCCTTGAAATAAATGTCATGATACTCTTACTCGTCTCATAAGGCACTCTGATGGCTAACACACAAACCCGGCTGCCCCAAACCAGCAGTTTTTAGGACGGTTAGGGAATTGGTTGGCCTGGTGCTCTTACTGCTGTGTCTTTTATGTGCTAAAGCAAAATGGGGCTAACTGCCTCCTCTGTTGGAAGAGGGGTGCGAGGCTTAAAGAAGAACATGGAAGAACATGTGAAGAACATGGAGATCCACAGGTGGAAAATGCTGGGGGCAGTCACAGCTTCAGAGTTTCACAGAGGATCAAAATGCACCGTCATATTTCACCTGTCAAAGTTGACTTTTCTTTAAAAAATAGGAAATCTTAAAGGCATTGGCTAGAGAAGGTGAACACTCATCTTTTCCGAATACTATATTTGAAAGGCTTTAACTGCATAAGCTTTTCTGGCACCTGCCAAGGCTATCTTTGGAGAAAAAAATAGGATTCTTGTTTTTTTCGAAGGAACAGGTGGCAGCATGTGGAAACCTTTTGTTGTTAAATTTTAGTCACGGTTCCTTTTTCTCCTTTTCTTTCCTTTTCCCATCTGCAGTTGAGTATGACAAGGAGTTCACGCCTCACCAGCGGCACCACAAGGAGTTCAAGTTTAATTTGTCTCAGATCCCTGAGGGCGAGGCCGTCACAGCCGCTGAGTTTCGGATCTACAAGGACTGCGTTGTGGGGAGCTTTAAAAACCAAACTTTCCTTATCAGCATCTACCAAGTGCTGCAGGAACATCAGAACAGGTACGCAAGGGAGAGCTTGCTCTGTGCCACCAGCCGCTGTCCTGGGGAAGGCTGAGCTGGTGCATGATGTTGAGAGGACTGCTCAATAAATACCGGGTTTGATCACATTAATGGGGTTATGTTACTGCATGGTCCTTTCCTTGTGGGAAATGGGCTTGGTCGAGTGCAAAATGGACCTCAGATGGAGAAAGTCCACGGTATTGTAGCCTAGGGTGTCACTTAGCTGCAACCTCTGTGTTGTCTTTAAATAGAGCAAGAGTCTGATGTGAGGCAGTAGATTGTTAAACTAAAGTTACTATGCTGGCATTGCTCTTGTGTACCAAAGAACACATATCCCCTTTCAACTTAACACTACCAGCATAAAAAGCATAACCTGTTTGAAAAATACTGGTAATTAGTGCAGACTCAACCCGCTCTTGGGTGGACTTGCATTGAAGTAAATAAAGCAGAAGAAAATTCAGCATGCTGACCACATGTACAAAATCACTCCTGGGCTTTCAGTGGCAATGAGAGAGGCAAAAGAGAGAGAGGCTGGATAGAAACTGTGACGTACAAATCCAAACAAGTGTAAATGGGGTGATTAATTTTAAAAGGGTAATGCTTCTGATGGGGGAATCATGCAAGGCAAAAAGATGGAAATATGTGGTCAATTAAATGTCAGGCTAATGCTGTGGTACAAAAGTGTTTCATTACTTCTGCTGAAATGTGTCAGGACTGTAACTGTTCCTCTACTGCAGACAGGAAAAAAGAAATCTGAAACAGCAGGGTTTTAAAAATCTCCATTTCTTTCCTCTGTGAAGGTTTCCTGGATGTTTTCCTTTCTGTTCCTTTTTTCTCCAGCATTTCCATTGATACCATTTGGGGGGATCCACCTTTGATGATTTGCTGTTTTGAGGGTAACATCAAATAGTTAATAGTTGTTCTGTGGGGAATGTGTCCTCTGGGGAAATGGAGAGAAATATGTAAGTGACGGGGAAGAAGGTGTTAGTTTTAAAAGGTCAGTGTTCCCTTTGCACTTTGAGTTGCGGGTTGCTGGAGTGCCTCCGGGGTAAAGTGCTTGCTGGTTAGGATGTTACGTCAATACCCACTTGAAGAGCTGATGGAAGTCCAGACGGTCATGCAGATTTCATAGATGTTAGCTGCATTGTTCATTTGTAGCCACATTGAACAAAAAGTAGTGAATGTTGGTCTGTTTTAGATTTCACAAGTAGGGATTCCACCTCTGGAGCTGGGGGAAAACCTCTGCCAAGTGTCTGTGGAAGCGCTCAATATGCTGCACTGGGTTGGTCACCAAAGCAGGGCACAGAATATGCCAGGTCTAAGATTGCCTCTTCTAAGGAGAACTGTCAACTTTTATATGTGTGTAACCATCTTTCATGGTAAACTGAGCAAACAAGCAATGCATTGCAGGAAAGAGAATAAAAGTATGGGACACAGCCCCTAATGTAGCCTGTTCCTGAGAAGTTTACAAACTCTTTGTTCCAAAAGTGGCTCTAAGTTCTTTGTACAGCAATGATGCTGGCACCTCTTATTTTTGTTTCAAATACCATGCCAGAAAAATGCCAAAGTCAGATTGCGCTGTGAAGCTGCGATGCGCATCCTTTGGCACTGGGCACTTCAGTGTCTGCAGGTGCTGGGCATCTCTGGGTACTAGAGACCTCCCTACGGGTGGAGCAGAGGCAGCATCTCTGATGGGGATCACCAGGGTGGTCTCTCTCCAGAGCTGGCGAGTATTTCGGGTCTTTCAGTTCCCTTCCGTTGTGTTCCTCCTGCCACTGCTGGCGGCCGTGCTGAGGGGATCCCACCGTTGGGACTGGGAATCGTAAAGTGGCTTCCTCCAGGTCCAGACTGCCAGCAATTCACCATCCCTCCTGACATGGGCTAGGCGTGAACCGCTGACCCAGGGATGAGTGTCTGTAGTTCATTACTAACCTCTGACTCATCCAGTCCCTCAAGGCTCCCTTTTTGTTTCTTTTTCTTCTTTATTTATTTATTTTTACTAGTGGGAAGGAGGGAGACGTTTGGCTAAAGAAACCTGCAGTTTGGATGAGTCTGTGGGACTTGTCACACCATCTGCGCAGAGGTGGCCAAAACGTGGCTCACGGATTCCTGCAGTTGTAAAAAGGACGTGCCCTTTTCCGCCCGTTTTCCTTTCGGCTTAAAGGACTCTTTCATGTACATGTAAAATATGAAAGCACATAGGAAAATGTGTGCTTATGTATGAATACATGCATATGTATGTATTCTCTATACATATCTGTACATAAAAGTGTATATATATATTGTCATCTATATTAATTGTCCTCTCTGTATTAAAAACATGCAGATGTTAAAAGACAGTTAAGTTATTAGAAGCTGCTTACTGCTCTTCTGTGTTACCTTCAGCTGAGGTTCTGACTCCATAGGCAGCTGCCACCATAGATTCAAACATGCAGCCGCGTTGGTTACCTGGGTGGACTTTGGCCTGTAAACATTCTTGAGAATGCATACTAAAAAAAGTTGTATTTAGCTCTTCACTAATATCTCTGTATGGAGGGGAAAAATGCCTCAGATTCTTCTGGTATGCCTTAAGGAGCCGTATTCTGTGCATGGTTTGGGGTTTTGATCATCAAGTCGCTTCTTTGCTTTTACTGGGGGGGTGGAATCCAAAGCACTTTTTTCTCCCTCTTTTGTCTCAGTGGGTTAATTTGGAACATAATGTTTTCTTTTCCTGTTGAGAACACTAGAAGGTTAAATTACAAAAAAAAAAAAGCACTTTTTTTTGAAGGAACTTGCTAAATATTTCTAAGGCTTCTGCTGCAGTTTAGCAGACATCTTATGAGCCAGAAAAGAACAGCTGCCTTTGACTTAAAAAAAAAATACTAAAAAAAGTTGTGTCACACTTCCTTTGGACTAATGGTTTGAATAACAGCCTGGTATTTCCTGACATTTGATGACATTTTATTGCATAAGGAAGAGTCTGTACAGATCTTGAAGGGTAGCTGGTGAGCTAGCAGGTAAAACAGAAGGAGTTGAAGTAGCACCTTTTTTCATCTTGTTCTGCTGACGAATATTCCTTCTGGTCAGGAAAATTCGTCTCTGAAGGCCACAGAAAGTGCCTATTTGGTTTATTTGCAGTCTTGAGACAAAGTTCAAAGTCACCATGTTAATCTTGGCTTTTATGAGGTTAACAGTTGTCTGTGGCGATTATTGGTAGCTAATAAAATACTTTTGGGTGCAAATAATTCTTAATGGGGCAGCTGGCTTGTAGAGATTTAAACCAGCAGTCCGCAAGAGAAAGGCAGCATGCACCTCTGAGGGGAAAAAATATAAAGAAAAAGAAACCTGCCTGCTCCTCTCAAAGAACTGAGCTTGGGAGGGCAGGAGGTAAGAGAAAGATTCAGTGAATACAAATCTTCACTGAAGCTCACAGCCTGGAAGTATCCCTTGGCTCCAATTAAGTGTAATGAAGTGGCTTAATTCAGTATTACTTGAGCAAAGAAAAAACAAAAGCTCATCTGGACAGTACAAGCGTAAGCGTGTGACTCCAGCCCAGATGTGCGTGCTGCTGCACGGAATCGCAAGGCACTGCTGGCCGTTCCCTGATGGCCAAACCCAAAACCAAGCCTGAGGCTAAAATTTCTACCAGGTGCTGAATTATCAAACTGAGTTTTGCCACTGTAGACAAGGTTAAAAGCCAGGATTATATGAGCCCATTTGAGACCGTCTCCTAGACAGGGGTGTGTGCGGAGAGAGCACAAATGATCAGAGATCGATGCTGATTGAAATAGCATAACCTTCGGGGAGAAATTTGACCCTCTCCTCGTTCAAAGCCATCAGAAATATGAAAACGATACTCGTGGAGGCTCCAGGCAGTGAAACGCACATTGAGGGCAGTGTGGTCTAAGTACATTCTCTCTTAAAAAAGAAAACATTTTAATACTGACTCACTTGTGTCAGTAATATTTTCATCTCCCCATTCCTTCCACCCTTTCGTAAGGTAAAAAAAATAGTGCCTAGAAACTAGGCTTTTGTTTTATAACCAAACCGCAGTTAACAGCCACGTTTTGTCATAATACAAACTGCTGGAGTTGTCAGTGGGACGCTGTGAAGAGATTAATGAAATCCTCAGGATAGGTCAAGCTTGTGGCCAGCCGTCAGCGTTATGCATTTCGGGTTGTGTGGAGAAGAGGCTTCACCAAACAAGGTTGAGATGATGACGTCTAGTTTGCTCTGAGGGGGATGACTCTGGGGTTTGAAATGGGCTGTGGGCTCTAGGGGCTGATGTCAGGAGGGGCAACAGGCAATACATCTGCCGGATGCTGCTGCCCTTCAGCTTCTGGCCCCCTAGAGTTTAAGAGACTGTGCTGTTTGAAGGCTAGGGCAGGATTTTTTTTTCTTTTTTTTTTTTCCTTTGGTATGTGCAGAAAGTGGGGAGATTTGCCAAAGCACCGGTTTAGGAGGACAAGCGGCATCAGCTTCCAGGTGCTTGCGCCACCTTGGCCGCAGCTGAGGGGACGCTTAGTTTCAGCAGGCGGGAGCTGTGCAGCCTCCACTCTCCTCCCTTTGGTGGTACTGATACACACCTAAGCCCTGCATGTGGGCTTGTTTCTAAGGTGTAGCACTGATTTTATGGAAGGACCAGCAAAGCCCTCTGTGACTTCTGATACCTCCTGGGAGTGGATCGCCGTGTAAGCAAGACCGTCGTAAGGGAAAGGAAGAAATGGGTACGACCCTGGAAACAGCTCATTAATTTCTTTTTCTTTCTCGAAACTTCCTTGCTTTCACCCAGAGAGGTGTCAGGTCAGGACTAGGGAAGGCAGTTTATGGTTGATCAAAGATGTTAGTCCTTGGTTTGGATCATCAGTATGTTTTCAAGTGTAAATATCCTGCTAATGCAGACCTCAAAACACTCCCACACTGTCCAAACAACTGATCTATGAAAAACACAGTGGCCTGTGTTAGTGATCAAAGGAAGATATGGTACCTTAATGGTCAAAGTTTATTAAACAGTTTCGTTT